AGTAACGTTCAAGGGAGGTCGAGTTAATGAACTGAGACTTGTCAAGTCAGAAAACAAAGCACGAAACAAACTAGAATATATCCATTGGTTCAAATACAAATCCCCGACCTCCTCGGGTGTCGGATTATCTCTGCCACCGCATGCACGATCGCACCCATTGTGGATAAAATACACGGCAGCTAAATCTAAAGTCCAAATACGATGTTACATCAAATTTATACCTAGTTATTAATTCAAAAATTGTTTATTATTATCAACTAATAATTGATTTATTTATCAATATAAATAATTATTAATTAATTTCACCAAAAATATACTGGGAAAAAACAGAATTTTCGCTGTAACAAATTACTACCGAACTCTAGGCTCCTTCCCGCACGCACCGTCACATACAGAAACAGCATCTTCCCTTTTCTTGCTCGCTTTCTAGTAAATCGGGCACCTATGATTACAGGTTTGGTTGAACACCCCACGAGTTAGTTTATTTATTCCTTTTTTATTCGTCACTATCGTCTTCCTGCGTTCAGTTTTCTGTCGTTTTTTAAATTAACCTATTCACACTCAGAGGCCATCCACCTCAATTCCACTGTATTATCGTGAAAAAGTCGCTGAAAATTCACCCCATCGGTGCATAAAGCTTATTTTGGCTTGACTTGACTTATTCATTCAAGTCCCTTTATTATTCTGTATAAGATGTCGAAACATGTACAGTTTCATTTTATTCCACTCCATGTTTGGGGTTGCAAACTCTGGTGTTTTGCTGCTCCTTTTGAGTAAGAATAGCCCAATTGTTGTTCACTTTTGGAATGCACGCTGGCCACACCATTGTTTTTGATGCCACGGTATAATAGCCATCATCTTGTTACATACAAATAATAAACTAGGGCTATATCATACTGGAAAATAAATTCGGAGTGATAATTTGATGCCATTTTTAGCATCAATCACCGCTTCAGTGTGCCAATACATGCATCGGAATCTTACACCTCATGCACAATGACGAGTTCGGTTGAGCTGTTGCTTTATTAGACACCTCGTATCATCGTAGAGTTTCGGTCGATAATCCACTTACTGAAGTACCGCTCTTGCCATAGATTCTATCAGTAGTAGATGCATACGTCAATTCCATTTAAATCAAATTGCTTCTCGTCATTAAAGGAGAAGCAATTTCGTTGTCTTTCGCAATAAAAGTATCCCTGTTTGTAAAGCTGTTGGAGCTATGAGCCTTCGCATTTTCATGTATTTCAGCCAAATTACTGTTCTCATCTCTGATGATTGACTCACAGAGTTTTAAGATATACGGAACAGTCTTCCCTTGAAGGATTTTGCTGGTATGCAATTCATGTATGACTGGGTTTTAGCTGTTTCCGCTGCAAATATCGCGCCAGTGTGATCCGTCCAGCTATCTAATGTGTGCTGACTTTGATCTCACCAAAGGTTTTTCGTCCAGATTTCCCAAAAACAGGTAAGCATCTTCCATCGCGCCAGGTTTGGCAATAATTTTGAGTGAGCTACTAGTGTTATAAATCCACAAGGCACTGTCGGAACGAAGAGAGTCATTCATTACAAATAACATTAAGGGGATCGGTAAATTGGTATACATAAAACAAATGTCTCACTTGGGACAAGTCTTCAGAAGTCCTACAAGCATAATGTATAATTACTAGATTGGTTGACCATTAGATGCACATTTTTTAGTTACAATAGTAAATTCTTCAATTCACTCATGAATTCCGTCAGACTTCACTAATCGCTTCTGGGTGCGTACAAACTACTCACAAGTGTGAGTAGTACCTCAACACATTAGGATGTTCTTGTTGTTTCAAGGTCTTTGAGAGTGATGGGAGCATGATTGTAGGTTACACCAGTCTGTTAAACATTGGTTCACCACGGTCGCCAGTTGTTATGCCGAAGGACAAGCTTGGGATATCTATCGCACCCGTTTTAAAACCGGGTTCTGTATGAAATCCATGAGAGTGCAATCCCTTTATCCCGGGATGTAGATCACGGTACACACAGTACAACCACTGATTGTTTCCTAAGACAATAAGAAATTGATTTCGGTCCAATTTAAAATCAGCTTTGGCAATTGCATACTGCAATAGCTCATCACGTAGATCACAAAATAACAGCTCTGAATCGTGCCTAATCTACGTGCTTACAGTCATTGTTAATGCATACTGATATTGATGTAATAATCTACAACATTATCAACACTCACGATATCGACACCAATGCGCTTTTCTTCCTATTTACTTTCTTTTTTCAATGAAATCGTTCGCATTTGATGTGCAGAATTTATTCCCCCAATAAATTTATGCATTATCGAAAGAGAAGACCCCATGTCTAAATTTGTGGTCATCTGTCCATCCATTTGGTAGTATTCACCTTTGGAAAGTTAACATACAACGTAGATTGGCGCTCTACAGGGTTTGATTTAAGGAACAATTTCCCCGAGGTCCAACGAATCCGATCCTTTTCGGATGAATCAGGTACAAGTAGCATGAAACGAGGTATTCGTCTCACTGCCACACTGGTCTTTGACCATGGTAACCGAAAAGACTTAACCGATGGTTTTCCCCCTGATCGCGGCACATACACATTGATTTAACTGCGGCTTTGTTGCATCTATTACCGACCACGAACAGTGTTTCTAACGTTCACGCTACCAGTAGAGTCTCTTTGTTGTCAACGAGGTGAATAAATCTAAGTAGGTAGGTAAACCATGGTTCACCGAGTACATAATCACAGACGATCAGTACCGGTGTGGTAGGTTTTTCACATGATATGCGATCTCTCTTTTGAAAAACCTAATTTGTCCGTAAAAGAGGGATTGTTCGA